GCCGTGAACCCAATTACATAACTTATTCTGAATTAAATTCTTTGGATACACTTTGATCCAAGAGCACCTCCCTCCAAACCAAAGGGCTCTCAGGTCTTTGAAGCTGGTTATCTCAAGAATGAGACCCTTAGGGGTTGCTCAGACAAATGTGGTGCTGTGGTTTGAAATGTCTACATGTTCAATACTTATTCTCAGCTGGTAGCAATGGAAACCTTAGGATGTACAGCATTACAAAAGTAGACCACTAGAAGCATGTCTTTCATTTTACATCTTGCTCTAAGTACTTGCTACTTGTCTTCTTGCCATCCAGTCTGCAATAAAGCAAGTGATCTGCTGTGATCCACAAAGCATGCATGACCACAATATGCTACCTCACTTCAGACCCACAGAAATAGAACCAGGATAGAAACCTCTGATATGAAAATGAATTTTCTCTCCCTTTGTTTCTAACTCTGTCATATAAAAGAAAATCTTAAGATATGAAGCTACACAAAGTAGATTATCATCTGTTTGATAAATGCTTGCATTTGAATTAAAGTTTATTCAGGCACCCAAAGAAGATAATTTAATTAAAAGAAGTAAAATAGCTAGAAAAATTCTATTAAAAATGTCATTAACTTGGTGAAAAGTAATTGATTCTCAACCATAAATACCTTCACTAAGTCTAGAAGACAATATTAATAATATTGCATTTCATTCATAAATTGGTATTGTTTGCCTTCTCAATATTGTATGTTTCACTAATACCAAAAACAAAACCTTAAATACTCTAGCCTTTAAAATGAATCCAAGAGCGTTTTGATGTGAACTACTTAATATAATGGAAGTTGTATTTATTTGTTTTTCCACAAAATATTTTATTACCAAATTATTAACCCGCACAAGCAAGAGTATTGATCTCTGTTATACATTCAATTTCTCTCATTAGATTCACAGCAGTAGCCTCTTTTTCAGAAAGTACTAGCACTAATCAAAACATTAGGAAAAAGCAGTATGCACAAATTAAATGGAATGCCCAAAGTCACTTTAATCTATACTGTTGTGAGTAATGTTTTTACTGATTATTATGACTGATTGATCTTAGGTCTTATAAAGAGATGTATGTCTAAAAGGAAATCTATACAGACTCCGTGTGGTGATACAAACACCACACAGAAAGCCAGGCAAAGTACTCACACTAGAGCTTAATAGCATTGATATAGATAGTTAATGAATGACATAGGGCTTAACTGTTAAAGTTTGCATTTATCTGTCACATTTTAAAGAATAAAATATAAACTGCATTTAGAATCACAGCAAATTAGAAGTAAAACAGTCTTTTGGGAGGCCACACCTTTACTGAGGAAGAAACCCAAGAAAGAAGTTTACCTGAAGTTTTTAACTTGTTCTTTTCCAGATTGAGACTTGCCATTGCTTTATGTGAGAATCAAAACCAGATCCAGGATTCTTGATGCCCAAGAATTATAAATTATAAATTATACCAAGTTGTATGACAGCTTAAAACATATTTACATCATATGTAATTGAAAAATAGCTACTGGTTCAACAGCACAGTCAGCATCCCCTCAAGTACATTCTGAAAACATGATGCTGAATAGAAACGACAGTGGGTGGCAGGGGTTAAGGGGGGACCAAACATTTTCATTTGCAGAAATCTCTAAGTTCCAATATTAAACTCATCACAACTCTCTCCAAACAAATTTATGACAACAGATGAAGCTCTGAATCATTTCAATTTCTTCCTACTCTGAAAAGAGATTTAAAGAGGTGAAACTGGAATTGACAGACCCATTAAAAGCTGACAGGAAGTGTTCAGCAGTGTCCTGTAATCTGAAGATTCAGACCAGTTCTCGGTTCACTACAGCCATAGTAAACTTCTCAACTACAAGGTCAGACTAGGATATCCTTAAACTTAGAGTTGGTTTCTAAGTTTACAATAATTGAAAGAGTACTAGTAATGTCTGCTCAATTTGAAGGCCAAACATATTACACCTGAAGAAAATATCCACTGATAAGAAATTATCACAAAGAAATGAGGTAATATGTATATAAACACCATGCAAATGTGAAAGTACTATAGTTGTCACTATATAGGAAACACTGTAGCTTTGTAAAAGGCCTATAACTCAGTTGCTTGTATGCAAAAATCATTCTTTCTGTTAAAGTTAGAAAAAATACAAGGATTGGTACCAGACTATTTCATTTTACCACTAAATTAGAGGTGGTGGGGAGTTCAGTAAGATAAGAAAAAGAAGGTGTAGTGTAATTACTCTATTATAGATTATACAAAAAAAGTAACTTATTAAGAACAAAGAATGATTCATGTTTACTTGGTTCTATGAAAGATATGCACAAATAAAACTTAAAGGCATATTGCTGAATATTACCCTATCAATAAAAAACAAAAGGAGATAAGTTCCATTCTTTAGCTTACATGAATAGCTTATATAGATATGGAATAAGATTATTACAAAGAAAGGAAGGTGACTTCCATTGGATTCAAAAAGCAAATCAAGGTGAGCAAGCAGGCTCAGCAGGTAAGTTCATCTGCTGCCAAGCAGCCTGACAACCTGACTTTGATCCCTGGGACTCACATAGTGGAAGAGATTTGACTCCTGTGAGTGGTCTCCTGACCGTCACATGTACACACATACCCTCCAGCACACCCACACACAGAATAAATAAATTAATTGTTAACAAGCAAGAGAAGTGGAGAAAGAAGCTTGAAAATGATTATTTAGTCTAATACTAGTTATGTAAATACTATATAATATATATATTAATTATGCAAAACTATTTTATATTATACTACCAACTAAGGTTTCCTGATAAGCCCAGACAACTAAAGAACAGCAAGCCGAGGAAAAAACACAGGTCAGTCACAAGCTAAATGATCCATGCAATAGAATTCTAGCAAACTTTAGGTTCTATAATATTTTTCCCCAATGTACCTCTGCTAACAGTATCATAAAACATACTGTAAAAGTATTTTATGTATATATAATAAGATTAGATTCCTGAATAAGTTTTGATAACTTGAATTTGATTTTCCATATTTATTTTTCATATATTCAAAAATTTAGTACAATTTATGCTACTCATCAATAAGTGTCTTAGATCCATATTTTGTAACATTCTTCATTCATAAAGAGCTTTGCCACTTTCTATTTATGTGGCAAAATACACGGAGAGTCTAAGATGACTAGGTAATGTGTATATAAATGCATTGATGACTATTTTATAAAAGATCAGAGATGGATTATTCATCATAACAACAAAGCAAAGGATACCAAAAAGTTACAAATGATCATCAGTGAACCTATATCTTTGTGTTCAGCTATTATTCTAGATTTCTCTTTTAAATATTATATAATGAAGCAAATACTATTTTTACTACAATGGATCCAAATAGTAAGCCAGAACTGAAAGAATATAGAGCCATATGTTTTAGTCATATGAAAAAAGTAGTATAAGCAGAGAAAAAGTGAGGGAAAAGCCAATGACTGGCTGAAAATATACTAAGTGCCAGGGGGAAATGTTACTCCATATGTCACAAGCTAGATTCTTCCAAGTCAACTTAGAAACTTTATAAAATTTCCTGCACTTTTTATATGAACCAGAAGCTAATTTGCTTATAGAATTTTTAAGCTTATAGAAAAAACTGTCATAATTACTTTTACCTTTTTATAAGCATAATGAATATGCCACATTTTTTATAATTTTTAAACTAGATGACTTTAAAATTTTAAAAATTTAAACTTTTTAAACTAGATTTTGCAGAGATTAGTATACACCCATTTTACATATTTCTGGTTCAAAAAGAAAGGCTTATGTAAAATGGATTAATTTATTTACTTATTTAACTTTATTGTTTCAATTTGGTGCTCAAGGTCAAGGCCAGAGCCCTGTTTGTGCTAGACAGGTAGCACACTGCTGAACCATACTCACAGCCCTCTCTCTGTTCTGTGTAATATCCTGGAATAGCTAGATCAGGAGAGGTAGAGAGCTAGAAAGGAGAGAAGGAGAAGATGAGGAAAATGAGAAAGAGAAACAGAGGTAGGGCAGAAAAGGGATAGAAGGAAGGGAAGAGGGAAAGGGAGGAAGGAGGAAGAATAGAAGAGAAAGGAAGGAAGGAATGAAAAGAAGAACAGGAAAAAAAATAACATGCAAGAAGCATTTCACTGACAGCTACGGCATTGTCAATTCAATGTCCAAGGTTTAACAACAAAGTTTAACAACTATTCTTGGTTAACAACGCAGGCAAGTATTTCTGTGAGTGCTAACAAAACAACAGCAACTACCAAATGAAATGGGTTTGTGAATACTTCAGAACAGCTACTGGTTCTCTGCTACCCACTAGAAAGGCTAAACTGGTCACTAAGCACTGTCATCAAACTTGGCATTTGCTTTTTCTTGGCATCATCAGATGTCAGTGTTTGTCACCCACTGTTCACTTACAGTCTCTATGGGAATGGCAGGTGAGAACAGTACTTAGGCCCAGTGTGCCTCACTCTGTATTTCTGACTTAACCCAAGAAATCACAAGTTATTGGCTCTTCTCCCCTGACAGAATCTTTGACTGCAAACAATGGAGCAGCTTTTTTTCTAGGTCTACTAATGACAAAGAAGATGAAGGGTTTCAAAATGAAATGTAAAAACCACACAAAAGACGTAGGAACTTGCCAGTACTCAACAAGCAGCCCACACCAGTTCTCACGCTTGCCTATCATCAAAAAGTGGAGACAATTCTCACATTATATCATCTGAAAGGACCTTCTGTTCTTTTCCTGCTAGTGAGTGAGCCAAACTGGGATTGTGCTGTGCCTCCTTCAGAACAGGAAGCAAGAAGGTCACCTTCCAGGCTCAGTGTAAAGCATCTGGTGGTGTATGGATAAGTAGAGAACACAGTGCAAATAAAACACGGAAACAGTTACAAAATATATCAAACTTTACCAGAGGTCCCTGAACAACAAATTAGAAAAAGGGAGGGCACAGCCCTACCTTGCAGATCTTGTAGAGGGATTCCTGTCCGTCTCCTCCAGTGTCTTTAAAGTAATCATGTGCAGGAAATGTACGATGAATATCTCGAGTAATAACACTCTCCTGTGCAGAGTCCTAAAAAAAGAAAAAAAAAACAGAGTTGATTATTCATGCAAAAATTATGTAAAATAATACATATACATAAAAATTTAAGGTACATAAAAAAGTGTACCTAAAAAACTAGCCTTTCAAAATAAAAATAAAAAAGCCATCAGGTAAAGAGACAGGAAGTAAAGGCTCTTGTAACCAAATCTGATGACCTGAATTTGATCTCCAGGACTCACACGGTGTTAGGAGAGAACCAACCATTGCAAGTCTTCTAAACTCCACATGCATGCCATGGCATGGACATATCCACACACATACATATACACACACAAATTATTTGTGCCCACACAAAATAAAATAAAATAAAATAAAAATCTCTCCTTCTAACACTTATCTAAGCTAAGTGCACCACCACTTACGTCCTTTCATATGTCTTTCTACAAGGGTGTATGTATGTGTGTGTGTTTATATAGGATGGCTGAGAGAAGAAACTTGTACACACATATTTCCAGAGACAAACTGTATGTTTCTTTCACTTACTGAGGTCAATTACAGACTGTTCCTTATCAAGACAGAACCAGTTTCTAAAAAGAAGGAAATACATCTGTTTTCATGTATACTATAACATTTTTCTATTTTGCCATTTCATAAAGAACACTTTTGGATATGTGTGTGTGTGTGTGTGTGTGTGTGTGTGTGTGTTGTTTTAAAGATTTCCAATTTATTGTTTTATTTATGTTTATGTGTGTGTTTCTGTGAAATTATGTCATGTGTGTGAAGGTATCCACAGAGGGTAAAAGAAGGCAGGCAACAGAGTCCCTGAAATTGGAGTTACACTTCGTTGTGAGCCATAAGACATTGGTGTTGAGAATTGAACTCAGGTCCTCTGGAAGTGCAACTCTTTTAACCATAAGCCATCCCTTCAGCCCCCTACACTTGTGTGCGTGCGTGCGTGTGTGTGTGTGTGTGTGTGTGTGTGTGTGTGTGTGTGTGTGTGTGTGTGATTTTCAAGGATAAATTCCTAAAGTTCAACAGCTAGGTCATGTATATATTTTTAAGGTTGTTTTGCCTTTTGGGTTGTTTTCAGGACAGGTACTCATGAAGTCAAGGCTAGCACTAGACTGGATTCTCCTGCCTCTATCTCCAGAGTATGAGAATGGATGGATGTAGTATGGATCACTATACCTAGTTGTACTTTCAGGTTTGATACAGATATTTCCCTCTAGAGCTGCCATAATGACATGTACTTCAAATAATAATAGAGCACATATTGCTTTACATGCTAAATAATATGTTTTCTATTTTTTAATCATGGACAATATGGTGAATAAAACTTTGAACACAGTCCTTTAAAGACTATTAACTGTCCCCCAGCACCCCCAAGTCATATATGAGACTAATTACAAAACTCATTCATTCTACAAATAAGAATCCTCCAACCACAATATAGAAGCTTATGTTTTAAAACATAATTTTAGAACTGTTTTTTATAGACATTTGGAAAATGAAAGCTCAACATTGTGTAAAAATCTGAATCCTTGTTAAAAAGGACTGATTATTACCTTGATTTTATTTTAATCCTGGAAAGGTTTGTTTTATCTCTATTTAAATGTCAAGAAAATAGGATAAACACTTGGAATAACTTTAATGACAAAAATACTCTGTTCATTCATAGAAGCATCAAAGACTGCTAATTGCAAACTAAATGTATTATTTAATGTCTTGCTTCCTCAAAGATTGAACAAAACCCCTTTCCACCTCATATCAGAAAGGGAAGAATGTTTAAAACGTGAGTTGCTTTAACGATGCTGGATCCTTCTCCTTTTAGCTGAGAAGTATACAAGGAGCAGGCAGCTGATCAGCCCAGTGAAGTCAGGACCTTCTCTTGCTGCCTTTTTTACTTCAGCTGCTACTTCATGCTGGGTGGTAATTAGATCTTACATCATGTAGAGAAAGAAAGGAAGCAAAATGACAAGTTCCAAATTTGCTAGCACACATTTGATAAGGCAGTTCAGAGAACATTTTGATGGCTTACAGGAATGGAAAACTGAAGCTGAACAAACATGGAACTTTATTTTTTTTTTTTAAGTTTAAGTAAAAGGAATAGATATATAGAAAATTGACACTTGACAAATAAATGAATTTTCTAACATAGTGAAGACTTAGGAGAGGTCTGAAAAAGGGTGAGCAGAATGCTATATATAAAAAGTTATATTACAGAGCTAAGGATATGTATCTCAGTGGTGGAGCACTTGTTTAGCATGTGGAATTCTAGATATGAAAACCCAATAACCACACAGACTGAAATGTGCACTTCCCAGGTTTTTACTGATGGAGGGTTTCTCTTTCCATTTCACTTGTAAACTATGTGAAAAGATGACGAATAAAACAACACTGCCATAGTGATAACTTCAGGGACAAACACGTGCCGCTGGCCTACAGGATAACTCTTTGGATTTTGCAGGATACTTATGGGGAAAAAATCAGTAGACCCATGTTTCTTAGAAACTGCTTACATCATTGAATCTTTACATGGTACCAAACAGTCTGATTAAGAGGAATTGGTCAAAAATTTCTAACAAGTATATTAGTATAACACTAAGCATAATTTTGTCTATGCATGCTTGATCTGCCTTATTTACAAAACAAATAGTCAAAACTGAAGGAAAATAAAACCAACACTTTTCCATAACTTTTCCTTTCCTGAGATTTTTTTAAGTTCACCCATTACAGGGCCTCAACTGGACAACTACTCTACTGTGTTTACAATTTTAAATGCATCTAATTTGAAATGGTATATAAATATAGACACAAAGTATAATGTGCTATAATTTGGATGGGGTTTCAGTACATCACCTAAGGGTTCACACATTGGAAGTTTGGTTCTAATTGAGGGATAACAGGAGATGGTAAAACCTTTAAAAGGTGGGTCCTGGTGTATGGTGGTTACTTCAGTGGGTGGAGCACAGTCCTTAAAAAGAATTACTGTAGTTTTTGTGGATCTCAGCTAAGTCTTGGGAGAAAATTGTTTGAAAAAGGAAGTAATAGCTCCTTCCCACTCTTCTTTCCTGTCCTAAGTCATCTCTCCCTCTTCACACATGCTTTCACCACCATAAGGCCACCCATCTGGGGTGTTCAAAATTACCCAACCTTGGGTATTTTGTTATAAGAATAGGCAGAATAAGATAATGTGCAATGTTCAAAATAAAGGTACTTAGCAAATCAATTACCATTGCGAGTGTGTGTGTGTGTGTGTGTGTGTGTGTGTGTGTGTGTGTGTGTGTAAGTAAATGGGTTCAAGATACACAATGTGAAAAACACATAGAATAAATAAATAAGTAAATATCTTCTCTACTACTCATTTTATATACTAATTTATTACTGCAAGCTATAGTTACTCTACCCATCCTATAACATCATACTTCTACTTCTCTCTCTCTCTCTCTCTCTTTTTTTTTTTTTTTTTTTTTAGGAAACATCCAGATGAAGAAGGGTCAAATAATTCACCAGATTAATATGTGTAAAGTGTTTCAGGTAAAAAAGTTATTTTTATATTTCTAGAAACCTTCCTACTGGTATGAAGTTATTTTCTTAAAAGACCTCAAAGCAGAAGTTGTCTAAGTCATGGCATTTGCCTCCACTGTGAGAATACAGAAATCACCCCTCTATGGACATCTGCTTCATCGCTGTCCAGATCCCCAACATGACCCATAGGTTACTTCTCAGGAGACACAGTGTCTATTCTGCTCTTCAGAATCCACTGTAGTGGCTCAGCAGCTAGACTCTGATATTCCTTCTGTTTTCCTTACTATATCAACAGAATTTGAAACAAATTATTTGTTCTAATGGAATATCAATTTCTCTATGAAATAGGTTAACATCAAATACGTAGTATTATTTAGAATGAAATAATGCAAGTAAGAGTGTTTAACACTTTGACTATTATACATTGAGCATGCAATATTTAACTGTTTAAATTTTTTGATGAGTATATACTTCAGACATTCTAAAGACCTTCCATACTTTAATAAAATAAATTACTATCTTTGAGTAGCATAAACATCATGATTATGAAGTCCATTCTCTGGAATTTATATATGATTTATTAATCTATACATACTATACTCTTAACTACTTACACACATACATGTCCTATATTATGACTGTTTCTATTAATCTACTAACAAAATTAAAATGAGAAATTATTGGTTTCAGGTTCCATATAACCCACCCAACAAAGAAATTTATAGCCAAATATACTAAGAAGGAGGATGAGAAAAATGGTAAAGTTGTGGCAAAATTTGGCAAGGCAGTCACCGTTTCTACTTTCAAAATCAGATTCTAAAGAACAGAAGAGTTGAAGTACCCATCTTGAAGAGGACCGTGGCACTGCAATAATTGCACGTCTCCCTTTGGAACATCACCAAGAACTTTACCTACAAAGTCCTACAGGGCCTCCTTTCTCTCGCCTTCTTAGGTTAAGACCATACTCCAAGCTGTCTTTGGACCGCAAAGCAAGAAGAAGTTTGTAACAAAGTCTGAAAGGTTCATTTTTATCCTGCATGCCCAACTCTATTACCATATAGAAATGGAAACCTACCTGTCAAATTTTCACTTTTTTCCAAATTTTTAAGTCCTAAGACTGAACCTATTCTCAAAAAAGGTAACAATCTCTAGTAGATAAAACCCATGGTCCAACAGAGGTACCATACAATTTGCTGAGTATCGGTTTAAAACCAACCCAAAGAGACATGATAAAGAGTTTGTTTTATCTGAAAGTACATTCAAACTACAGTTTCCTATCAAGAATATTGCATGAGATATTCATCCGTACCACCTACATTCCTGGCATTCTTGTGATTCTCATAATTCCTACCAGAAGAGAATCGTCGTTTACTTGTTTCTTGTAGTAAAAAAGGCAATACAGCACTCAACTGTCAAGAAGCATTAGGAAGACAGGCTTGGAAGAACTGCATCCTATTATTTTTTTATGAAACAATTTTTGAACTGCCAAGAACTAAAACGGC